TTTTGTTGAATTCGTTTTAATATGTACTATTTGGTTTATAGTTAAAACAGTATTTACCCATCACGATAGGAAATACTGTTAATTTATTGTATTTACAAAAAAATAAAGTAACACAAACGTATCCGAATAAGGCGGTGTATGTTTTGACATGTTTAAACTCAACGAGACAAACATGTTAAAACTTACAAAACAATACTTAAAATGTGTTTTGGGTTTATTTTTAAAATTCAACTGTACATTAAACTTTAATATAAATGTTAGTTTAAATATTATTCTATTTAACCATTTAATTCTTTTCTAGTTTAACCAACTGTTTACTATTGTTAATAGTTTTTAAACTATTAACGTGAACCATTTAATTCAAACTATTTCATTTAAGGCAAACTTGTCTAACTGTAGTTTTGTGCGTTTGTTCGGGAATATTATTTAATTAATAATTAATTCAATTTATATATTTTTTATATCAAAACAGTTACCAAATCTATTTTTATATTTTATATTTTTTTAAATAGTAATTATTATTATAAAATTTCAATAATATTCAAATTCTATTTTATTAATTTTTTAATTATATTTTTACTATATATAACTATTTTAAATGTTTTTGTATTTTTTGTGCACATTAGTTCAAATTATTTTTTTATAATTAAGCTATTTTTTGATAAATAAAAAATAAATGTGGAAAAATTAAAAAATCAAAGTTTAAAAAACTAAACAGTAAAGTTTTTTAAACTTATCTGTTTAGTTTTTGACTTTTGGCAATGTAAAGGAATGTGTTATTTTTAATGCAGTTTTGGGAACCATTAACACCGAAAAAAAACCTGGAAAATGCCGGACTGTGTTTTTGTTTTAGGTGTTTTTTTCCAAATAATTAATTAACTATATTTTTAATTAAAATTGTATATTTATTTTGGAAAAATTTATCAATTTTTTAAAATTATAATGATTTTAAAAAATGGTGGGATTAATCAAACCATTAAATTATAATAAATTATATAAATATTTGTGTTATTTGTTTTTACACTAAAATTTATAAAAATTTATAGTAATTTTGTACTATTATAAACTGTTTCCCAAAAGTCGATAGTACCCCAAAATATTTTGGTCTATTTTTATCATAATGTTTTGGGAAAACTACGGAATCTATTTATATTTCAATATCAACTTTTTTCAAAAATTAAAACCATTAATTGTTGAAAATCTTAATTAAAAACACGTAAAAATAAGATACAATTTATGTAATAACACTTTTTTTTCTCGAGCAACTTTTTTAAAGAAGATGGCCAATGAATTTACCTTTTTCTTGAATACAAAGAGAAAATCTTTTTTCCATCGATTGCATTAAATTGTTAATTGTATCCATTGGTATCGATTCCCATTCTTTCTTCAGCACTCTAAACAAACTCTTTTTGTTTTTAAAATATTTTTTCTTTTTTCTAATTCTATTTTCAAGTATCGACCAAACGTTTTCAATTGGTGATAAATCCGGACTTGAAGGAGGCCACCCAGTCAATCTCACTTTATTGTTCTCCAAAAAATTCAATGTCGTTTTTCCTGTGTGTGGCTTGGCACCATCTTGTTGGAAATAGACTATTTGTTTGTTGCGTTCTCGTCTAATATCATCAAACACTTTATTACTTTCAAGCATGTGTTGATAGCCAAATGCATTAAGTCTGTTGTCACATAGTAACAACTGTGATTTGTAATTATTTCCGATTGCTCCCCAAACCATCAATGTATCGTTGTGTTTTGGAAGTGTTAAAAACATTGATTTAAACATCTTATTGTTCTTTTTAATAAGTAAAGTTTGATTTCCAATATTAAATGAATTTATTCTGTTATATCTCATTTTCCTGCTTTTGTGATACCAACAGTTTCCATTATCAGAAAACAATCCAAATCTCGATCATCACTTGTAATAGCCTCTTTCCATTTTTTATAATTTTATTAGTACCGCCTTTTTGCAAAAATTTAATCTTTTATTAATGTTAACTTTTGTTAAAAATGGAGATTTCTTTAGTTTGCCATATTTAAACCCGTTTATTTT